ACTGACGCTGGTATACGATTGAAGGGTTATGTCACGGAGCTCAAAGTACATATATACATTATGTGTAGTCTTTGAACCCAAAGCTCAAGACTTTAACCACTATACAACGAAATCACATCCGCCTAATCGACCAGAATGTATTGCTACATACCGAACAAGATGTAGAACACCGAGAACAGCCGCGCTTTCTCAGTGTCGACGGAGAGATCGCCATATCCTACCGTAGTTAGGGTTATGACGGCCAAATATACAGAGTCGAGGTACATGAGGCCCAGCTCGATTGAATAGAAGACGGCCCCTACCAGTATCAGAGAGGCCATAATAATGACGGTGATGGCGACGCTGACAACCACGCTGCGCAACGTGGGCAAGGGTTCGGTTTCCTTCCTTAATTGGTTCAGCTCCACTTTAAGATCGTGGACAAGATCCATGATGTATGCTATCGCAGATACGATAAGCGTCAAGCCTATGAATATATATATGATGGTCCACACCTTCCCACCTGCCGTTTGTGGAGATATATCACCATATCCGACTGTAGTAATTGTCACTATAGCCCAGTAGGTCGAATCGAGAAATGTGAGGTCATTCTCACTACCCCCTTCGATAAGGTCAAATATCACAGCACCCAGCAGTACGTATAGCAATATTAGCGGCCCGACGACCAATAATTTCCGGTAGTGCACTGAATATGCCTGGACAATATCCCTCTGTAGTAAGCCCGGCGGAAAGACGTCCGTGAGAAAGGGGTAGCATATGAAAAGACACATGAGAAGCGTGCAGCTTTAAGTACCATTCGTACCCATACTAGAGTGTTGAATATTATAAAAAATAAGAGTTCAGATGCACTGCTTTAGTGCTCCCGACATAAATGCACAACCTTTGCCAAAGAGAGTGTGAATACACATCATGCAAGCGTTTAGAAAGGGCACAGCACTGTTACATTATAAACTGCCTTCTGATGTTATTTGAAGTGAAGTATAGCGCATGTAACCTTGTAAATTCCCTTTTTTGAGCTTTGCTTTTCGTTCGCTTGAAAATGCGCGATGTGTTACATTGAGTTGACGTTCGCTATTGAATCAAGCTTGACGTACCTAAAAAAAGCCGTTTCTGTGATATAGCCCTTAACATTGTCTATATAGTAAACAGACACTACTTACTTTTCTGACATCCCGCTTGCAACTGGTTCTGCTAAAGGTACGTTTAAAGACAGCCCTAAGTTTATCCTGTGCTCTGAAGTTCATGGGCACTTCGATGTACCCGGCATCTGCAGCCTTCGGAAGCGCAGGAGGTTCTTCATTTTGCGATGGATCCTTTTGGATGTCGCCTTCTTGTGCCTTGTCATCCATTACAGCGTCCACATCTGATATAGCTGACTAATCCTGGCTGTCATATCCATCTATACGACTATGTAGCCCTTGAGAATGGTTAAACCCCCCCCCCCCCCCCAATCAACAGGTGTCGTGTTACCCCGATTTTGAATTCCTCTAAAAAATCTTATTTAGATTTATAGATGGAATCGATAAGGAAATTTTATTCCAAAAAATGTTGTTTTTTACACGGGCTCCCAAATCCATCTTCTTTCAAATACTTGCGGTGTGCTCAAGTACGTCTTTGGTGGGCCGTGGGAGTCGGAGAGGTGGACTAATAGATTAAAACGGGGGTACACTGATAAGTAATTTGGCCACCCACATGGTGTTGTACGATGTATAATTGACTAAATTGTTGTATATAGTATGTATCAGTTTGACTCTATGGGGACTCGTAAATGTAAATACATATGTATTCAACAACTGAATTTTCAATATACAACTACTACTACTAGGTAGTAGTTAATAAGCGTAGGGATATATTAAATACGAGAAATGGGAATGTGGATTTTATACTAATAGCCACCAGTGACGTGGTTCGCATTAACTATTTAGCTCGACTGAGCGTATAGTTTTGGATCAAAGTTTGTCCAGTTAGACTCCCCTCCAGGTATGACCCTATATCAGCATGTTTATATCTCGTTGGCCTGGATCCTTAGCCTCGAGCCACAGTCAGGATTTCTCACTCAGCATCGTGCGCGTGAGCTCGTTCCATCTCATCGTACAGGTGTCTAAACGAGCTGTCAGCCTGGGCCAAGAGATTGCTCGGGGAATCGAATTCAAGCACTGTTCCTTGGTCCAGTACCAGCACCTTGTCACTGTCCATGATGGTGTTGAGGCGGTGGGCCTGTGGTAGTATTTAACAGCAGATAGATGAGACATTGGATATGAGGCGTGTCATAAATTCTCCCGGTAGCGTAGGGGCGAAAAACTCACCTCACTACACATACCTGATTCCGATGTCATGGAATATTTGAGAGAAAGTTAGTAAGAATGATTTTGTGACAGTAAACTGTATTCGGAGTATCACACATCACACAACAACATCACACTAACAAATATACACCTTCCATGCAGGATATACAGGCTATAAAGGCACCACCTCAACAAGAGTCTCCAGACGACACTATGTTAAACACTTAACAATGCCAGAGATAGACTACCAAAAAAATATTGAAATTTTTGAAGACCACATTCAAACACTACGACGTCCCACGACAAGTTTTTAGCACATCGGCCTAAAAACAACGAAAAGTGAGTCTAAACGCACATGATCATGAGGCATCAGTATGGCACAGAATAACACTCCGCGGTATTGCATTGCAAAGCCACCATATGTCGTGTGTACGAAATGTCAGAAACTCCGGCCCATTAGAATATAGGAAACTAACGCAAATGTAGCAAGTAAGAATGTGCACAAATTACTACTGTAAAAACTAGAATACCCAACCATTGCCAAATGTAGGAGCTAAGCGACACGTCTAAACGAGCCGAGTAGATCACAGATAATATATATATATACATATATATATATATATATATATGTGTGTTGTTTTTTTGTTAATATAATATTATATATATATATATATAATACTTACATACATATACATATATATATTTATATATATATATATATCTATATATAATATATAAGTACATATATAAGTATATATATGTATATATATTAAGTATATATATATATATATATAAAATGTAATTTATATAATTATATATAACTATATATAA